AGGGGGTTTAGAAATGGATGGCAGTTTTTGACAAAGGGGGAGGGGGTTTAGAAATGGATGGCAGTTGTTGACAAAGGGGCAGGGGGTTTAGAAATGGATGGCAGCTGTTGACAAAGGGGGAGGGGGTTTAGAAATGGATGGCAGTTGTTGACAAAGGGGCAGGGGGGTTAGAAATGGATGGCAGCTGTTGACAAAGGGGGAGGGGGTTTAGAAATGGATGGCAGTTGTTTACAAAGGGGGATGAGGTTAAGAAAGTTGACGTCAACAATCTTTTTTTTTCTATTAAAATTGTAATCTTAAAAATTCACTGGCTCTTACATTATTTTAAACAATTTAATGAGATTAAATAGTCATATATGTTGAGCCTTTAAACAATATAAGAGTTATTGACTGTGTGTCTGTCTGTGCACTGCAGAGGGTTGGTCAGAATGTTAGCACACTGTGTTACTGCAAGAGAAGTCAAAAGTTGGCATCTCTTCACAAGTCATTTTTCTCGGTATCCGCTCCTTAGAATGATTAACACATCATTGTATACGGTGTTCAATAAAAAAAAAAACCCACCAACTTATCGGTGTTCAAAAACAACTCTACCAATTCAAAGACAGAGAGAACTTATGGCAATTATTGTTCAAACAGACAATGCTTCTATTTTAACTGCTGAATTGTGACAAGAGGATGATGTTGACTTGTCTGGTATATCAGTTCCCCAAGATGAAAATGATCAATTTAGACTGTGCCCATCAGAGCGTTATTTCGCCTCTTTTTTTTGGGGGGGGTACGTGGGGGGGGGGGTCAAAACCAAATTTGGTCAGCTTCTTAAGTTTTTTATTACTGGTGGCGCCCCAGTACATATAAGTTTAAATAAAACCAGCAAAATCGGGAGGGGGGGGGGGCAAATGCCTCCGTGCCCTACTAAAACGATTTCCCTGATGCCCATTGTTACGGTAGAGCACCACCTGGCTACTCCATGGGGAGATGATAGCAGCTAGAAACTATACTATAGTTGTCAGCTTTACTGACATTAATGATATTTATACTTCCACATGCAATGATATTTAGTCTGTAACAACCATTCAATTGATTCTGCATTATAAAATTTAAGTGTAAAAACTTTTTAACTTGTTGATTAACGAGCTTAACATGTTATACAATATCTTCCTTACAATTTTATGTGTCATTTAAATAGATCTGCACAAAGTAAAATGTATTTATAAATTTATTTATATCATAATTCATTTTTTTTGGGGGGAGGGGGTGGTTATAAAATGTTGATATAATTAAATAGGGGGGGGGGGTCATGTCAAGTTTGACAGTTGTTGACGGGGGGGGGGGGG